GCTCGATCAATACATACATCTATCCCACGAGTGCGACAGAAGGATAAACGGGAATAGACGTAGATAGAGGAAGATAATCAGCAGGTGGAGAAGCAAAATTAGATGACGAAAAGATGTCAGTAGTGGAAGTAGGAATATCAGACTAAGACGGTGGAATATCAGAGGGATCAAAAGAAAGTAGATGATGATAGGATCAGCTGGCATAGTCGGGTCCATTGGCTCAGTTGGCTTAGACGATGCATGAGATCTACTTTGGGAAATGGTAGTATGGCCAATAGGCCAGGAAACCCTCATCGGAAAAATGTAAAATAATGTCGAAGAACCCTAAACGCGAGATTAAGGTAGAATTTTGAAAATTTATTGACAAATATGATGCAATGTAGCATGGATATGCTTTAACAGGACCTAAACATGAATGACATATGGATGAATTGATGCAAGAAATGTAACGAACTAAAAAGTCTAAAAAAAAAAAATTCGAAGAAAACCATATGTTAGGGAATTTGAATTTACCTTTATTATTCTAGGAAATTAACTGAATGAACACCAAAATTGTTGAGATATGATACCCAAGGATTGAAGCAAGGAATGGGGATGGGTGCCAAGATTTGAGAGAAATCATAAGAGAAGAGGAAGAATAAAAAATGAAATATGGGCGAAAGCCTTTGCATTTAAAAAATCGGATTGTCACTCGAGTGAGAGGCGAACGAAAAATCCTCTACTTTTATCACTCGAGCAACGTCTCAGTGAGAAACGGGCGAAAATATGTTAACAAAAATAGCACCTCATTTTTGAAAATTACGAAAATAGCAATTTTTTAAATTCATGGCACGCACTCCAACATATAGGATGACCAAAATACAAATAATTACAAGTAAAGTATCATCAGTAAAATAAATTTCCCGCATACTCAATTCAAGTTTAAACGAAGTATAATATATAAGTGACTTATGTGTGTTAAGTGTCACTATTTATTTGTGAACATAATTTCAAACCTTAAATTTGTGAGAAAGAATTTGTTAAACATCACTGTTAAAGAAGTGTATTCCCTAAATAATGAAAGTCAATCCAATAAGCTTATTAGGACCTTTAAATTAAGCTCATTTTGTTTCGAAAATTATTCTTGTCTCCTTTGATGTTGAGCATATAATTTATTTTTATTTTTCAATTAATCATTTATCTCAATATTTGTCATATCTTATGTGCAGAATCTTTTCCATTAAGCGACTAAAATGAACCATGTAA